AAAAAAAAAAAAAAAAAAAAAAAAAAAAAAAAAAAAAAAAAAAAAAAAAAAAAAAAAAAAAAGATTGACGACAAATTCACATGAATCGGTAGTCTCAAATGAGTGTTTCGTTTCTAGATTAGGCTGTTGTATAAAAATATCGTATAAAAAAAAAAAGATTTAAAAACTATGGAGAAATCAGCAGCAATAACTGATAAAATTCAACACAATTATTGACTTAGAAAGTAAATACCCAAATACAAGATTCCAATTTTTCAGGTTGTTTATCGGGATATTTAAAATCAATATCAATAACTGACGAAAATACAACAGTAAAAATAAATCAATTTACGCTACTGTCGGCGTATATTGAGCATGTCAAAAAGTTATTATTTTAAGGCATGATTAAAATATAACTGGTAAATTTCTGTCAAAAAATAAATAAAGGTAATTTTCGTCATATTTCAAGTCTTTCAGACATTTTTTTAGTCCGAGAGAAGCAGACAAATTGTTATAGTGCACAGAACCAATAAAAGTAAACAAGATCTTTGGGAATATCAGAATTGAATAATGTGATATAATTTAATAGTTAACAAACTTGGACTAAAAAAAAAGAAGAGGAAATTGGCATAATTCTAGCAAATATATATACACATATCAAAACCCCTTCCGAAATTATTCATTACTTGATTAATGAGCTATTCGGTTCGGTAAGTAAGATGTAGACATATAAAATTTTCATGATTCAATTCTATTTTTTGTAAATTAAATATTATATTAAAATTTCGAAAAAAAAAAACATTTTAATCTACCATGACAAATTAATAATTAAACAATATGCAAATATGATCTATTTGTTAGCTCGCTTAGCTCTTATATTTTTAATTAGTTTAAGTATTAAAAAAATTTTTTCATCGAACGTACAAGTTGCAGGTGTGAAAAAATATAAACATAAGCATGTCAGAAGGCTTAACACCTTCAAACATACTATAAAATTTCGCCACTGTTTGTGAATATGAGAATTGAATAATGTGATATAATTAAATAGTTAAGCAGCCTGGCCATGAAAAAGGAGGAAATCAATGTAATTCTTGCAATATATAATTGTATATATTAAAAACAGAACATACCTACCAAGATCAGAGAATTCGCTCACTTCAACAAGGTGCATTAATTCTCCTTCATCTTCAGCTGGTTTGAGTTTTCGGGCTCGCTAAATAGAATTCATTTTAATTCCACTTACATTATGCGCTAATATATAAGTCTTATGAGATGAAATTAGATTTAAATATAAGAAGACAAAAGATAAATAGACGGCAGGTGTAGCGGAAAATGATAAACAGCATCTTAACGGGTTACGGTTCCGAGTGGTGAATATCATAGATTTCAGTATTTAATGAAAACGATCGATGTCGTGACAAAAACACGATTACAATATTGATATCAAATATTATCCGGTTGTTGTTCGGATATCTCTAAATTTGTATTTTAAATTTATTTTTTGGAATTATAACAATTTGACGTCAATTTTTGTCTTTTAAATGATTAATTTTGATTTAAGAACACAATAAAGTTTTAAATGAAAATTTTACAAACAGATTTTTAATGTGAAATCGACGGGAATCGTACAATATCGTACACACAATTTCGGTTTTCGCCAATATTGACAATGTCGGTCGATGTAGATCAAAGCTGTTACAATATCCCTGTGCTACTTGGGTATGTGGCAAATCAACAAAAAGAGTGCCGAAAAATATTAAATAAACAAATGCTTATTTTAAAAATCGTATAAGTACATCAATACAAAAAGATATTATAAGAATTCAAAATCATCAATTTATGGTTTAAAAAAACATGTAGAAGGAGAATTCTTTTAACGATTCACATATTTCAAAGTTGTAATATATATATTAATTATATTTTCGCCCTCCCCCCAAATATGTTTACATAACGTTCTTTAAGAGTCAGTATGCATAACATTTATTTTTTAATTATTTAAATAAATTTTTAGTCTCAGATTATATCTAATAGAAATTTATTTAAAAACATGGTTAAACTATAATTATTTATTAGACTAATTATTATTATAATTATTATTTTATAAATATTTATTAAACTAAAAGAAACATTACAGAATAGGACAAACTCGAAAGGTATAACCCCGGGCAAACATATACATATTTTTTTAAAAAAAATTTGCAAGTTTAAAATCTATTTGGAGATTGCAGTTGGCGGGACAGATTACGATACTGAAATATCCCCAAGAAATTTAAATAAAAATGTTTAATTCTTTTTTTTTACAATATTTTAGACATGAAATTTTAATACGGTAACAATATTGTTTGTATTGAATGTTAAACATTCTAGAATGTAATGGTTTAAACTGAGCTAAAAGTAGCAGATCATTAATTTTCTAATTGTCTTAACTTGACTAATTTGTTTACAGACAACTATTTTTAATCTTTTTCATTGTTGCAGAAAAACTTTGTCAGGGTCGAATTATTTAGCAAACACTGTTTTACAAGCATATTTTGAACCAATTACATTACTTATTATTTATATATAAAAAAGTGGTGAATAGTGTTAAATAAACAATTGCTTATTTTCTTCCATTGTTTATTTTAAAATTTGATTAATGTAAAAGAACATCAATGTAAAAAGATACTATGAGAATTCAAAATCATCAATTCATGGTTGAAAATATCATATAGAAGGAGAATTCTCTAACAATTCACATAATTCAAAGTTGTAAATATATATTAAATATAGTTCGTCCCTTCCCCCAAATATTTTGACATAGCATTCTTTAAAAGTCAGTATGTATACCCAACATTTGTCAAATATTTTTTTTCTTATAGTTTAACTAATTTTTTACAGCATTAGATTATTTCTAACAGGAATTTATTTAAAAAATATAATTTAATCAAAGCTCTACATTCACCATAATTACCATTTTGAATAGACCATATTATTGTTTATTTTTTAATCATTTACAAATTAATATAAATAATGATGCATCAAAAACATTCA